CTCTCAACTCTGTGCAGTTCAGCATGCCAGTCTCGGTTCCCCTTGCTCCGTGAGTGAACCCTCTCCTCCCTGTCCTTCTTAGTCCACCTGCATCGCCACATTTAGAGCTGGCTTCACATCGGAAGTAAAGGGTCAGGCTATGCCTTGAAGTCCCACCTGCCCGTATCTGCCTTGAGGTGGGTGCTATGAGCCCTTGGCACATTGTGTGATTATTGAGGTGGTTGGCCTGAGCTCTGTGGCTTAGAATTCTATTCTTCATTGGTCTCTCCCATTTTTCTTTCTCCCCGCCCCCTTTTTTCCACCCTCTTCAGTGTGAATATTTATACTGCTACATTTTTGTTCATGAATTGTCTCTTGACCATTTTTGTATAGATGTGATGGTTAATGTTTATTGTCAAGATTCAAAATCCCCTTGGAGACAGACTTAGGGGTGTATGAGTTACTTCTGTTCCTGTGATAAAACACCATGACCAAGGCAACTTGGAGAAGGAAAAAGTTTATTTGGGCTTACGGTTCTAATCCATAATGTTGGGGAAGCCTGGGAGGGAGGGGCTGGTACAGGAAGCTGAGAGATGATATTTCACCTGCAAACACAGAGTAGAGAGAGTGAACTGGAAATGGGCAAGGCTAAAATCCCTCAAACTCCGCCCCAGGGATGCACGTCCTCCAGCAGAGCTCCACCTCCATAACCTTCCAAAACAGTGCCACCAGCCAGGGGCCAACTGTTCACATATGTGAGCCTGTGGGTGGCAGGTGGGCAATTTCATTCAAATCACCGCAGCATGACTGTGAGTGACGTTTCAGACTACCAAGTTAGCTGAGGACAGAAGACCCACCCTGAACGTAAGAGGCACCAGCCCATGAGCTGGAGTCCTGGACTGAATGAAAAGGAGAAGGTGAGCTGAGAACCAGCGTTCATCTCTGCCTCCTGACTGTAGAAGCCATGTGAGCAGCTGCTCACCCTCCTGCCATTGTGCCTTCCTTGTCATGATGGACTGTGTCCCTTCTTAAACTGTAAACCCAAACAAACCCTTTCTCCTTACGCAGCCTTTTGTCGGGCGTTTTATCAGAACACAGTAAGATTTAGTCAATGGCTGCTCTAGGGGATTACAATCCACACACTGAACATTTTGCTGTCTACTTAACGGGGATATTTTACCACTTCAAATGAGATACAGAGGCACCCTCCTCCCCCAAGATACTGAGAATCAGTCCAGCCCTGTAATAATCATCCTCTCTCCTCCCACGCACACCCACCCCAGCCTTTGGGATTCCTTTTTTTCCCTTGGCTTTCCTTTTTTTTTTGTTTGTTTGTTTGAGACAGGGTCTCATGCTGTAGCAGGCCTGGAACTCACTATGCAGCCTAGGCTGGCAATCCTCCTGCCTTAGCCCCTCAAGTGCTAGGACTATAGGCTTAAGTCCCTATGCCCAGCTTTGCTCTCTACTTCTTTGAGATCAACTTTTAGCTTCCCTTATAATTGAGAAACAAGAGGTGCTGTGTGTGTGTGTGTGTGTGTGTGTGTGTGTGTGTTGTCTGATTTATTTCACTTAATAATAATGATCCCTATCCTCATTGATGTTCCTATAAATAGCAGGATCCTATTCTTTTGTGACTGAGTAATATTCCATCATGATATGTCCCATTTTTTTTTTAATCCGTTCATCCATCAATGGACTCTAAGTTTGACTCTGCTTTTGGGCTATTGTGAATAGTGCAGATGTCTCCTCTGCACATTGATTTCCTATCACTGAGATACCTACCCACTGAATATCAGCTCATACGGCAGTTCTGTTTGTGGGTTTTCTAGGAAGTTCCATCTGCTTCTCCATAATGGACATGCTAATCGTCATCCTTACCAGAAATTCCTAGGAGTCCTTCCAAACCTTCACAGCATCTGCCATTCTTTGCCTCTCTTCTGGGGAGAGAGGACCTCTCTTACGACTTTAATTTGCATTTCCCCCATTATCTAGGGATGTTTAATATATTTCCCTATTTGTTGGCTATTTGTACACTTCCTTTCAAGTAACATGATCAGGTCATTTGCATAGAGTTAAAGTGGATGTGTTTCTCCTATTTGCTGTGAAACTTGCCTTTGAGAAGATTCTCATCACTGTGCTTTTTTGGAAAAGATTTATTTTTCTGAGTCTTGTGTATGCATATGTACACAAGTGTGCATGTGCTCCAGGAAGCCAGAGAAGGTCCTTAGATGCCCTGTTTGTGAGCTGCCTGGTGTGGGTGTTGAGAATCAAACTCCAGTCCTCTGCAAGAGACAGAGCTCTTAACCGCTGAGCCCTCTCCCGGGCCCCTTACAGTTTTGGGATGCACCATGTGACCAGTGTTATAATCCATTATTAGTCCATCCTGTAGGTGTGCTGTGTTTCTCACTTTGTTGGATTACTCTCCAGCTTGGCAGGGTTCTGGGCTTTTCCTTTCATATTCTTCCTTGGTAGTTAACTTTGACTTCCTCGATAGTTCTGTGTCTTGGACTACATTGAGACTTGCTTTGTGGCTCAGTAAGTGATTCCAAATGTTTTAACATTATTGTGAGTAAGTTAGAGAGAATATCCCTTCAGATATTTCACTGCACAATTGCCATTCTATTTGGCCTGTCTGTTTCTGAGTCACACTTACGATGGTTAATTTTGGTATCATCTAGATAGGATTAAGAAATGCCTGGAGACAGTTCTTTGGGTATTTCTGTCAAGGTATTTCTAGAGAGGATTGACTGAAAACCTGTCTTGAAGGTGGGCAATACCATCCCATGGGCTGGGGTAGGATCCAACACCTTCTGACCGCCAGGTACACTCACACACAGACATCTACACAAGCACATTTAAAAAAAAAAAAAAAGACTGGGAATGGTGGAGCACACCTTTAATCCCAGCATTCTGGAGGTGGAGGCAGGGGGATCTCTGTGAGTTTGGGGCCAGCCTGGTCTACACAGAGAGTTCCAGGACAGTCAGGGCTGAATAGATAGATCTTGTCTCAAAACAAACAGCAAAATAAATAAATAATAAATAAAATTTAAAATGAAATAAATTTTAATCTTAAGATAAAATTAAAATAAAAATAAGCCCCCCCCTTTTTTTAAGCAAGGGAAAGTTGAGCTCCTACTGAGCACTGCATTCCCCTTCACTTTCTGATCTACAAGTGCTCTGCTCTCACCCCCACCCCCCCACCCCCGCACAGGCCGCAGACAGGAGCCTGTCCGGCCCCCAGGCCTTCCCCACCAGGATGGCTGTATCCCCTGTGAGTCAGAATGATCCCTCCTCCCTCCCTTCCATTTCTCCTTGTCAGGTGTTTGGTTCCCGTGATGAGAACGGCCCACTGACACCACGCTGAGGACGCCGAGGAGGCCAGCGGCAGGTCTGTGGCTGCATCCCTTTGCTCAGGTGTCAGCTTTTGTGTTGTGCATTTCGAAAGCTCTCACATCGTGGTGTCTCTCTGTGTGTGGTGTGAAGCGTGTCCATGTTTGTCTGTTTGTGAGAGAGCATGCTCCCGCATGCACGCTCCTGTGGAAGCCAGAGGTCGGTATCTGGAGTCCTCTTCAATGGCTCTCCGTTGTTGGCTGGGCGGTGGTGGCCCACTCCTTTAAAGCCAGCACTTGGGAGGCAGAAGCAGGTGGATCTCAGTGAGTTCAAGGCCAGATTGGTCTGCAAAGCAAGTTCCAGGACAGTCCCACAGAGAAACCCTGTCTCAAAAACACAAAACAAAGCAAAACAAAAAAAAAGATCCTATTATTTACATCCCCAGCTCTAGAGTTAGAGATGCACACAGCCACACCCAGCTTTACACGTGGCTTCTGGGGATCCGAACTCAGGTCTTCATCCTTGTGCCGCAAGCTCTACCCTCTGTCTCTGACCTCTGGATTAGGCCTTTCTGATACTTCTGGGTGGTGTTTGTTAGTATTTTCTATAAGTATCTGTAGATCTTCCTCTCTTTATTTTTAGTCTTCAATCCTTTTTGAGATAAGATCTCACAGTATTGCCTGACTGGTCTTGAACTCACAGCAGTCCTTCTGCCCCAGCCTCCTAAACGCTGGTACTGTGAGTGTGAACCGTGACACCTGATCTCCAACGCTGTTCTTTTAACAGTTTATCTGATAGCATCTTTCGTACATCCTCTCAGCTGTGAGAAAACATACAAGTTCAGGGGTGTCAACTTCATCTTCTAGTAACCCTCACAGCCATCATCCCCAGGACATTCTGCAAAGCTGAAACCGTCCCCCATTCAACAGCTTCATTCTCTTGTAAATGCGTCTTTAAAATTTCTACCAAACATATCACAGGCAGAAAAAAGCAGGATATGAGCGCCTAGGTCTTCAGCCGCCGCCCCTTCACTGTGGTCAACTTAGCGCCAGTCTGGTGTTCACACGGATCTCCCACCCCTACCCCGATTACATGGGAGAAAATCTGAAACATTGCATCACGCCATCTGCAAACATTTCAGCTTGTGACTCTGAAGACAGAGGCAGTGAGAAGTAACCACAAAACACCACCACTTAACGATTTCTCAACATGGCTGACATCTCGAATCTTAGGTTAAAAGGTTCCACTCTGTGTCTCTCTTTCTGCCCCCTCTAGTCTTGCAAGTTGTCATGTGGGGTTTTGCCCACCCTGGACCTTGTGATTGAGTCTCTGCACATCCCTCTGTGCCCCATTTTTCTGCCTAGGAACCTTTCCCCAGCCTCCTTCCTCCCGTGCTCACCTGCTTCCTTGAGGGGCGTACCCCCTCAGCCTGTTCACTTGGGGCTGGGTCCCTCTCTCAGAATGAGAACCTATGCAATCAGCCCCTGCTGGCTGGACCCTGAATCCCGACCTCTTCATGACATGCTAGAGAGCCCCTCCACGCCACCGATGACTGCTGCCTCCAACAGCGGCCCCTCCTCTCTTGCCATCACCTGCTGGTCCCACCCTCTCGGTGTCTCTTCTCTAACATCCCACATGCAAAGGCTCTGGGGTGAAACCCACATGTGGGCCAAGGAGCCGTGCGTCGCTCTACTTCCTCCTCGCTGCTGACAATACAACAGGAAGCATCAGGCTGGGGCCTCAGTGGCTGCGTTCTCTAGACACCACCGCAGAGCCAGCTGGCAAGGAGCAGGCAAAGACATCGCCAGCCAGCCGGATTCTCTGAGTGGAGGCCTCCGGGAACCAAGAGGGGTGAGTGCAGGGCCCCTGTGTTCAGGCAGCTTTTACAGGCAACCCCTCGGAGCTGGGCTCTTGCTGTGGAATTTCTCTTTGTTTCCCCAGCCTTAGAACCTTTCCGGGTCCCTCGCTTGGGCTATCTAGCAGGAAAGGGTCTCGAGACCTTTCACGTGTGGCGTCTGGGTATCCAGACCCTCCTGACTGATGTCCATTGAAGGGAGGTTTGGTGCCACCCTCGGGCGGAGTCACAGACGTCCTGGTAACTTCTGTAACTGGGTGTGGGTCAGCAGGCAGAGGACGGTGTTGATCCGCTCTCTGTGATGGTGCCTGGATGCCTGGGGCCGAGGAAGGGCAGTAGTGTCAGGAGGGATGCACGCTGTGGGGAGTAAGGGGACATGTGCTGTCTGTCACCCACCCACCAGAGATGGAAGTAGGTGCCTGTGGTCGTGGAGGAGGATTGTCAGATTGAAGGCAACAAGCAGGAGAAAGCAAGGAGATGGCTGCTGTGCCGTCTGCCTTACAATGGAGGGACTTGAGATCTTTGTGTTTTAGGAAAGGACTTCTCAGGCTGCCCTGCCAGTCTCTGGGAATTGGGCTATACACGCCCAGCCTAGCCCACAGCATACTAACCAATGAGGAAGTCCTCTGCCCAACAATCCCACACACAGTAGTGACCAGGCCTGGGGCTAGGGACCACAGGGCCACATGTCAGTCAGGGGCAGGATGGATGCCTGTGGGGCCCAGCCCTAGGAGACTGGTCTCTGGGAGACGGGGTGGGGGTGGGGGAAGGGAGGGGACGTGGGGGAGGGGGCTGTTATAGCTGCTGAGGGCCTGGCTGGCTCTGTGAGGTGGATTCCATGAAGTTAGATCTCAGGTGGCAGATACCCTTTTCTATACCCAGCAGTGAATGAGCAGTTAAGTGATGATTGATATCTGCTATAAGCATGAGTCAGGCCCAGGGACCTCTCCCAAAGCAGGAGTAACATGAACAGTAAAACGAGGGTTAGATGGGGCTGGAAGGGCCCACATTTCCTATCTCCACCCTTCTCCAATCGTTCTGTTTTTCTGTGTTGAAATAGGTGGGTCCAGTCTTGCCAAAGGTGTGCGTTTTGCTGGGGTGAATTGTAGTCACTCTGGGACCGTGGGGGTGGAGGAGCCATAAAATCGTCCTTTGCAGGAAGTTCTGCAAACATAAGGGCAATCTTCCACATAGGGCTTGGGAGGAATCACTAAGCTCTCTGTGTAGAAAGAGCGTGGGCTGAGCAGGCTGCTGGGCTCTGTGAAGTGAGAGAGAGCTGGCTGCCCGGCTCTGCAAACTCCAACTGTCCGCGATCAATAATGACTCAAAATTCACTCCCCTGAGGACGGACGGAGTGGTGGGGACAACTGGGGCACCCGCTAGCTCCGACTTTGTCACTCAGGCACAGGTGGCTCTCTGTAGGTGCCAGGGCTGTAGGGAGGGGCTAATTGTGTGGGCAGGGGGTGGCTCTGTGGGGAGGAGCAGGTCCTGGGTCGGCCCCCTACCTTCGCACCCCTCCCCCTTGGGCCATGAGTCTCAGTCATGCCTGAAGCTGTGTCAGCCGGGGCTCCCAAGGGTACTCAGTCACCCAGAGGTGACAGCTCAAGCCTCTGAGAACACCCCAGTTCAGGATGCCCCCTGCCTGGATGCTGGGCACCCTTGGGTGATGTTCAGGAGATGCCCTCGGCCAGGCAGCCCAGTGCTGGCTGTGTCCAGGCTCCACTCTCTTTTGCATCAACAGGACCTCAAATGGGAGAGCTAGTTCCCAGATCCCATGTGCCTGAGTGAACTCCAGGCCCTGTGGAGGGCTCTCTGTGACACTTCAACATGGGGAGCCGGCAGCCAAGCTAAGACAGGTGGCCCAGGTGTGCCAAGTGGCTGGATGGCTGCTGAGCCCTGCTGTCTCTATGAAGCAGGTATCTCTGCTGGCGGCTGGAGTTCAGGCCTTGCCTCTGCATGTGGATCTCGCACATAGCTGGCCTGACACGATTTGCTTGAAACCTTGGATGAGCAACAGATAAAGGCAAAGTCACTCTGAGCTCTGAGCAGGCAAAGCCTTCCAGTCCTTTCTTCAGGACCTTCCCCTAGAGCAGAGCAGGCTGGTGGCACAGAGTCCTTACACGAAGCTGGGGTCAGGACCCCCATCATCATCCAGCGAGTGGTTCCTGGGTAAAGAGTTGGCCCCTAAGAGGTGATATGCAGAGGTTAGATCAGGTCCTGGATCATGCTGGGTGTGAGCACTGACAGCCTCCTCCCTCCCTGGAAAAGGGCATCTGGGCTCCTCTCCCTCCTGGCATCAAGGTAACGAGGACTGAGTAAGGAGCCAAGAGGCCTCTGCTGGGTCTCCCCCGATCCCTGTGAACAGCGACATCCGAGGGCAGCCAGTCCTGAGATGGTCTGTGTAGGTTGGGACCCACCACCACTTGGTGATGATGGGGAAAAGAGAGGTACAGAAGCGCTCTGGCTGCCTCAGGATCCAGCCAAGCAGGAAGCCACAGCTCAGCCTCACAATGCTGTTTTTTGTTTGTTTGTTGTTTTGTTTTGTTTTGTTTCCTGAGACAGGGTTTCTCTGTGTAACAATCCTGGCTGTCCTGGAACTCACTTTGTAAATCAGGCTGGCCTTGAACTCACAGAGATCCGCCTGCCTCTGCCTCCTAAGTGCTGGGATTAAAGGTGTGCGCCACCATTGCCTGGTCACAATGCTGTTGTACAGCATCACCCCAGGAGCTCCCTGAAAGCTGGGCTTTAATTCAGGGTCTAGAGGACTCAGGGTTCTCCACAGAAATGAACCAACGTGATGCAGGCCCTTCAGCTGACAGGATGAGGCCTGCTGCCCTGAGGAGGAAAATCTACTTAGCTGAGTGTATTGACATAGAGGTTAATCTCGGAAAATTCGTTCCTATTGCTGTATTTAATGAGGCAATTCCACGTAATTTATCTGGTAATCAAGAGAGATTTATTTCTGGGATAATTTACAGCCAATAGAGATTGGTTATAGGATCCAGGAGAGATGAGGTGCCATCCAGTGGAGAACTCAGGCTTGGCCTCCCATCCAGATTCCAGGACCACGAGGTATCCAGAAGAGACCAAGCACAAATGCACCTCGAGTCTTGGGGGGGCTCCCTCTTGGCCACACCCCAGGGGCAGGTCATAGGCAGGTGTAGCAGTTACCTGCCATCACCCTAGGGGCAGTGTTTCAAGGTCAAAGCTGGAACAGCTACCCACTACACCTTCCCAGCAACACCAGCCCCATATTGGAACCAGTGTTGTGGCTCAGCCACATAGACACTTGAGGGTCACCCTTGCAGGATCCTTTGCTTTCATCAAGAAGGGAGGAAATGGAGTGGCCTGTCTGTGGCCCTGTGCAGTTAGGCCTATGTCTAGGATGCTCTAGGGTGGGGCTGATATGTCCTCTACCTGCAGCTGTGCCTGGCTGTGTGCCCTAGGTGTGTGAGACTCTCAGGGCAAACCCACAGACCGAGGCCAGGCATAGGCTAACAGAGACAAAGGCTAACCCACCTGCCAGTGGGGATACTGTGAGTGATGTGATACCCATTACTGTTTCTAGAGGACAACTGTCCACTTCCAGGAGCTGGCCCTGACCCCAGTGGGCCTTCCATAGCCCTGTCCCTACCCGTGATTCATCGCAACAGGTCATGGCCTGTGGGCAAGAGGTGTGGACATGGGCATGCCAGGTCTCTGTGATGCTCAAATCCGGCCAGTGAGAAATGCAGGGACCTTGAGGCCCCCCAAAGCTGCTACTTTGGAAGCTTCTGGAAATAGAGACCTCTTGTCTGAGCAGTGGGTCTCTCTGACCTTCAGGGTCTAAGGATGCTCAGACTCAACCCCAGGGAAAGGCATCAACTGTGTCCTGTGGCGCCGTTTGGAGTGGTGGGAGCTCTGGAACATTCAGACACTAGGCGGGGGTTGTGGGGCAGGGCAGGTACTGTAAGATACAGGGAAGACGAAGTCCAAGAATGTCCAAGAACAGCCCAGATGCCCCAGCTCATGTCCCAGAAGAGAACAGCAAATCTTACTTGCTGGTTGAGTGACTGAGTAAATGAGTGAGTGAGGCAATGGAAAAGGAAGGATTGATGAGCAGGTTCCCACACCAGTGTGAGGTCGTGGTTTTCATCTTCCCACTGTCACAATAGAACTCTCCTCGGGAAGGTTGCCAGTAGAGGCAGAAAGACCGATAGCTTTTGGGACCTTGAGAAGCAATTTCACATAGTGTGTCTGCCAGTGCTTTTAGGATGTCACTGTGCACAATTACTATATAAAGTTGGAAAATATAGACAGAATATGGAGGAATCTGAAGACAGGGGTGTGATGCTACCCACAGGACATTTTGGTCCACGGCTTTCCCTTTTTCCTGTCTGTTCACTTTCACTATGAGAATGAGTTGCCCCAGCAGCTGTCCAGATGCTGATGCTGCTGCGTCAGATTCCACAGGGCAGGAGACATGAGTGTTAAAATGGTAAAGCCATCTTCCATCGGAAAGCGACTCCAGAAATGCCCATGCTTGAATGGGTATCCCATTGCCCCTCGGTGTCTGTGTTCTGCCTGTTCATGACCTGTTCGTGGTCCATGCTCCTCAAAGATGCTCACCTTTTATCATTAACTTCTCAGATTCTGTTAAAGAGGAAACTTTACAGCAGGAGGCTTCTCCTGTACTAACATGCCTGTAAGGATGCTTGGAATTTCCCTCTGACTTGGGAACTTTTATTGAAGTGTTATTTATTTATCTATTTATCTATCTATCTATTTATTTATTCATTCATTCATATTATTTACTTATTTATATTATTTATTTATTTGAGATAGGGTCTCACTATGTAGCTCTGGCTGTCCTGGAACTCAGTATGTAGATCAGGGTGGTCTGGAACTTGCAGAGATCCACCTACTTCTGTCCCCTAAGTGCTGGGATTAAAAGCTTGTTCCACTACGCCCAGCTTATTGTAGTGTTCTTAAATGGCTTTAGAAGTGAGTCTGATTCCATCCTAGCTGGTCAGTCTGCAGCTCTCGGTATCTCTGGACTCCATCGGTCGTAAACATCATGTGACCGTGTCTCTCAGTCACTTACGAAATTTCCTTTGCAGGTTCTGGGGGTTTTCTGAGAGTCCGTAGGATCAGTATCCTCCACAATCGGTGCTCCCTCTGCCCTTTTGGCCTTTGGTTCCAAGGCTGCTCGGAGCTCTAGGACCCTGGCCGGATGCAGTATTCTGGAACCCGGCTACTCCATCTGTTCCTGCGGGTCCTCTGTCCTAATTAGCTTTGTCACTTTTACACAGCATTAAGTCAATTGAGGAACTTCCTAAATCAGACTGTCCTGTGGGTATGTTTGTGGAGAAATGTCTTGATGATTAATCGATGTAGGAGGGCCCAGACCACCGTGGGCAGCACCATTCTCTGTGCAGGTGATCCTGGGCTGTGTAGAAAGCTAGCCAAGTGGAAGCCTGTGGGAGGGCGAGCCATTAGATGGTTCCTCCAATCGTTTCTGCTTCAAGTTCCTGCTTGAGTTCCTGCCCTGACTTCCCTCATTGGCGACCGTGACTTAAAAGCTGAGAAAAACCCTTTCCTCCCCTAATTTGCCTGTGGTCAAAGTGTTTTATCACAGGAACAAAAAGAGATCAAGAACACTCCTTGTTCCCTGCGTTCGCCCAGAACTCTGAGTCCTGGACCACTGTCCTCAAGCCAGCTGCTCCCTCTGTTTCCACTCATCCCTTGTCCTCTGCCCGGAGCTCCAGGATCCCAGAACCCTGTTCCAGTACCTTGAGCCCATCTACCCCTGCTTCTTTTGGGAGCACGTAAAGGCAGAAGTGACTCCATCTTGACACTGGGCTTTTTGATGACAAGGTTCAAGGCTGGGCTGTGATCATCTCTGATCATCACACGCCTTTATTTTTGTTTTCCTCGGACAGGGGCAGTCCTGGGACTCCATCTACTCTCCCTCCAAACTACCCTGGGGGCTCTGCCAGTCTTGGGCTGCTTGATTCCCCACATTGCTCTCAGTCAGGTGCCTCATGTGCTCTGACTCAAGACAGGAAGCCACCTACCACTAACCCCTTGTAAGACTCACCCCCCACCCCCACTGACTCTCTTACATCACCTCCCACTCTCTCTCTCTCTCTCTCTCTCTCTCTCTCTCTCTCTCTCTCTCTCTCTCTGGAAAGGGTTTCATGCACCTCCAGTTGTCCTTAAACTCACTATATAGCTGAGGATGACTTTGAACTCCTGGTCCTCTCACCTTCCCCTCCCAAGTGCTAGGATTACAGTTACAGGTCACCACACCCTGCCCAAATTGCCTTTTGTTTCTTGTTTCCTCTTTTGCTACATTTCATTCTTCATGGGGACACCTTCCTATCCCAGGACCCAGGTGCAAACACCATATGGCAAAGGCTTTATTCACTCCTTCCTGTGATCCCATTGTCCCCAAGGGGATCTTCAGGGAAGGACAACCCAGGCCTCACAGTGTGAGGGGCCTGCCGGTCTTCACCACTTCCTGGGCTGGGCTAGCACTTGCCTAGCAGAGGGTGGAGATCGAGGGTGGCTCTGATGTTCTCACAGAGTTCTCACAGCTAAATGGGGCAGGGCTTTCTTAGGAGGCCTCTGCATAAGGTTGCACCTCATGACTTGGTGAGGGTACCTGCCGGAAGATCTAAGATGCTCCAATGAAGCTCGGGTGCTGGAAGAGACCTCCGCAGGGCTGTTAGCTAACCATGAGGAGGTCTTCCACCTCCAGGCACTCTTACGCTTGTCCTGCCTAGATTGGTGGTACAGTGCCAGGGGGCTGGCAGCTACGGTGACCGGGGCCTCCCCATTTGCTGGCTGCCAGACTGAGTGGAGGGACCAGCCATGCTAGGCACTAAAAGTACCACACACCGAGAATCAACGTTCAAACCTGTCTATCCCAGGGCAGGCCCCACATGACCTGGGCCAGCCTATTGCTCTTTAGTGACAGGGTCCTGAGAAGGGAGGCCTAGGGGATGAGAAGATAAGGAAGGGAGGAAAGCTGGGATCAGGAGGTCTTGCACAAGCTGATGACTTATGCCAAGTAAGTTTATTAAGAAGTGCAGCATCTTATATACAGTTTTTAGGGGCGAAGAGGGACAGTGTCAGCCAATAAAACAAACTACCATATAATGGGACTAAGTCATAAGAAGCTAATCAAGCAAGCCACCCAAGGGGAACATGGACTATTTCCAGGATGTCCGAGACTGAGCACACAGGCGGCCTTGGGAATAATAACCACAGCCCCTTAGGAGGTGGGACAGTTGAGTTCTTGGGATGAAGGCGCAGCTCCCTCCAGGCCCTGGCCCCAGGCCGTTACCAGCCTTGCTACATAGTCTAGGTTTTAACAGGGAGCTGTGTTCCTTCTCCGTACATCAGGGCTTCAGGGAAAGCCTTGGACAGGCCTAGCCCTCAACACCCGTGATCTGCCCCAGTTCTACAAAGGAAACAGAGGCAGAAAGAACTAGACAGGCCTTGCTCTTTCAGGTTTCTAAGATGCTGGTCTCACTAAAGACCAGTGAGCTAGCCAGGCAGGGCTAGCTGATACCCTGTGCTGATACCCACACAGAGGAGGGCAGGAGCCCAGTCCCAGGCTCTGCTCACCTCCCAGAGCTTGGCCTTCATTCAGCTACCTTCCAAGCTCACACCACTGTCGCTGTCTGGAGTTCTCTGTGGGGCATCAGATGGCTCCTCTCAACAGCTCTCAGTTCTGCACCCGGAACAAAAACAGGAGGTGGCTGCCCTGGCCACCACCCACTTCCTGTGTCCAAGGTCAGGGCAGGGCAGTGTGGTCTGTGGGTTGGTCCTGTATCCAAGTTGAACACTGTGTGTGTGTGTGTGTGTGTGTGTGTGTGTGTGTG